CTCGCTGCCCTTCGTGGCCCCGTTGCTGCCCTCATCCTTGCTCTCCGCGGCCCATACGTATGCCCTTCGCGGCCCCCGCTCGTACACGCTTTTCGTGGCCCCATACGCATTCCCCTCGTGTCACCGCTGTCGCCCTTCGTGGCCTACTTCGTCTCCTTGTGGCCCTGCTGTCGTTCTCTCTCGCTCTCGCTTTCGCTCGTCGTCGCCGTCGTCGTCGTCGCCGTCGTCGTCGACGTTGTCGTCGTCGTCTTCGTGGTCGGTCCCCTGTCCGTCCCTCTTGGGGTCGGGTCGACGGTCCGCGGCCGCCCCGCCGATCAGCGCTGCCGCTGGCCAGGCCGACGGTCCGCGGCCGCCCCGCCGCTTGCCGGGGCCCAGCCTGCAGGGAAGAAAAGTATACCCCCAAAAACGGGTTCGATCGAAGACGAAGAGGGCGGGTATCGAGGGTTTGGGAAATACGCGTTATTGGACACTCGAGCAGGTAAAGACGAACAGTGTTAACATGATTGTTGTTGTTGATGTTGTGGTTGTGGTTGTTGTTGTTGTTGTGGTGGTGGTTGTTGTTGTCGTTGTTGTTGCTGGTGTTGCTGCTGTTGGGCGCTCTCGCTCGAGACTTACGAGGATCGTGTCCCCATACGGAGCTCCACCGCAGGCCCCAGCGGCAGGGTTCGAATGCGGCCCCCCGCCCATCCCAGCACACCTAATCACAGTTGCATATGGTTGGGTCCTTCGCCCGGATGTTTGTTTGAAAAGCCATTGGTTGTTTGTATGTGTTTACGCCGACATCGCCACGAAAGAACAGTTTTGGATGGATGTTGTCTTTCGCGCGCATGTGGCCCGCGTGGTGTTATTTCAGAAGGAGCTTCGTGCGTTCAGCTCATGGTCAATCAGAGGCATGTGCACCGCATGGTATCATGTGTCCGGGATGAGGGGGGACCCGATACCGAGGCCAATTGGAATGGGATGAACTCATTTGGAAGATGAGCAAGGAGGCAAAATCATATGTAAGTTGCAGTACCCCGGGGGAAAGTGGTAATCCCGGGGTGGGGGGAGGGGGTAGACATTGATTTCCATTAGGAGAGGGACTCAACGCCAGCGCCATGAAATCTCCCAGGATCTCATGGCCCCCTTCTTTTCTCGAGCACGTGCCTCGGGCCCTGATCTGCTACGACTTTTGTTTGCCCCACTTGGCCTCCCGGGGGGGGCGGGGGGGATGGGGCGCTGCCAGGCTCCAGGGGCCGTCGACGGAAGCGGCTATGGGGTGAAATTGGGGACAGGAGCATGGCCCATGGAACTATGCTCGCAGCCGCCACCGCACACAGTATCGTGCACACCCCTCGTGGTATGTTCTCGCGCGCGGGACGTTCAAGCAAGCACGGGGGTCCCATACAGGGCGCGAGAAGTGCCACCGCACACGCTTCGGGCGGGTGGCACGGGGGGTGGATAAACCTGCGCTCGCTTACAAGTTGGGGTCCCCGTCGTGGGACTGGGGTGCGCCTATGGGCGGGGGGGCCTATGCGCAGGGGGAGAGGCCCCTGCGCCGTCCACACATGCCCACACTGCTGCCGCCGCACTCCTCACTGCTCTCCCTCTCTTGATCAGTATGTCTTCTTGCTTCGCTCCCCCTCCGCATTCCCTCCGTCTGTCTGCACCTTATGTTCATAATTCCAACCAGTCGGGACTCCTGGAGAGATCGCTCCAGGAGTCGTTTGGCTTTCAGTTTGATCGACCCCCCAGGGCCGACCGGACATGGGGGGGCTGCATCCGACGGATCGCGCCGCCCCCAGCGCCTCAGCGCCTCAGGGGGGAGGAGGGGGCGGAGGAATGACCGATGATGAGGAGGAGGAGGAGGAGGAGGAGGAGGAGGAGGAGGAGGAGGAGGAGGAGGAGGAGGAGGAGGAGGAGGAGGAGGGAGGAGGAGGAGGAGGAGGAGGAGAGGAGGAGGAGGAGGAGGAGGAGGAGGAGGAGGAGGAGAAGGGAGGAGGAGGAGGAGGGAGAAGGAGGAGGAGGGAGAAGGCGGAGGAGGAGGGCGACGACGACCCTGGAAGGGGCGCGCTGGCCCGGCCGAGGCCCTCCACCGGACTCCTCGGGGGCGTCGGCGCGGCCAGGACAGCCAGAGGAGCCCTGCCTGCCGCGCTGGCCGCCGGGTGGACGGGCCGGTCGCCGAGGCATGGCATCCGCTGGCACGTAAGTCGGGGGCGGAAAAGAGGGGGGTGATGACTAGGGGGGGGGGGATAGCATGGCGTGGGCCATGATGTTTCCCAAGATGTCATGGCGCCGCTTCTCGTTTCATGACGTCCCCCCGCTGGGCCGCGCACGTGCCGCTGGTCATGATGTGCACCCCCCCTCTCTTGGACACCCCCCTCCTCGGCCGCTCCCGAGTCAGAGTGGCCCTTCGCTTAGGATGCTCCAACCTACTTTTTAGCCTTGATCACCAGGAAGAATGATGTCCCAACCTACCTTAGCCTTGACCACCAGGAAGGATTTCGAGCGGCCAAGAGAAGAGTACCGAAACTCGAGGGTTTTCACGCGTCGGGCCCTGGGAGGCACTCGTCCGACACTGTTTCGACACTCTTTCGACACCTTTCCGGGTGCTCCAA